GAATTGTTATGGTATTTTATTCTCTAGTCAATTCTTAGGCAAAGGAGCACACACTATGAAATGGGACAAACCAAGGGGTAAATGCTAGGTAAAAACAGCTTTTAGTTTCCCCAAAATTTTAACTTAAGAGTACAGATTAGTGATCTTTTTAAAGGAATGAAGTACTTCTCCCCCTCTCCCCCATAATACTAATTCTAAAGCTAAGAACCACTCTCCCTACCTCTCTCCCCAAACACACACACACACACACACACACACACACGGTTGGGCAGCTGTTTCAGAACAAGACAGCTGCTGTCTCGGTGCTAAGAGAACAGTACTTTCAGTCAAAACGGCCTCGGGCAAGATATCAATCTCACTTTCCTGAACTGCACTTATTGCCCACAGATGACACTTGGCAGTGTGCTTTGTAAACAGTGAGCCAAAACAAACAGTTTTCAATCTAAAAGCGGCAAAATATGATAAAGCCCCATTTGTTGACTGGAAACAGCGTGGACTCGGACAACATCAACGATCCTAACCATCACCTGCCACTCCAAAGACAACCAGCTTCCTTCCATCCTCAGGAGCGGCATCAGCACAGGGTGGAGGAAGCAACTACGTCACCAGGGCACCCGAGACCAGCACCTCTAGTGCCTCGGCCCAGCTACGCGCCTGGGCTGCGTCGGGGCTGAGCCGGGTCCTGCCTGGCCGGATCGGCGCTCTCAGCCAGACCCGGGGTGGGGGAGGGGGACAAACAGGCCAGCACGCTACCCCCTCTCCTCTCACCTGTTCGAGCGCCGCCTTTTCAGGAGGGCCCGGGCAGGGGGCACCGGCCGGTCACAGAAGCGGAAAATGGTGCCGAGAATCCTAACCAGCCATTTGTACATACCAAGCCGAAGCAGCAGCGGCGGCCGACACACCCCGAGACGCAAACCCCAGAGCTGTCGCCGCCGCTGCCGCCTTCGCCGCCTCAGCCACCACAGCCAAGGTTCAGTCGCTGACTTGTGACGCGATCTGAAGGCCCACAGATACAACGTCCCCAGGGCTACAGGAGGACCCCGCCCGCCACCGCTCTCGACGTCACCTCCTCCCTCCCGACCGGAAGGCATCTTCGTCATCAATCTGCGCACGCGCACCCTAGGACCCCACCTCCTGCGGGACTGCCCAGGCCCAATCATTAATGAGAGCGAAAGGACTGTGGGTGGGGCTTTCCCCTTGCCGAGCCAATCCTGAGACGGCCCGCGGGACAGGGCCCACAGGCTACACGTGAGGCTGCACCGCCGGGGAGCGCGCTCCGAGGGCCGGAAATACAGAAGGTACTCAGTAAACGCTTGAGCACACGAAACAAACGTAGGTCAGGTTAATGTACAGATGTTTACCGTGCTAGGAGGAGCCCTTTATTTTGCTTGTACCTTGTACTTGACGGGAACTGTCACCTTCATTTCTCCCAGCAACCGCAGGCAATGGAGAGCCCTGTGCCCATTTTTAATAAATAAGGAAATCGAGGCATAGAGCGATTAAGTAATTTGCCTGAGGTGATAAAACTATCTAGTGGCAGAGCTGGAATTTGAACCGGGGTCTGAGAACCAGCGCCAGTCCCCGCCCTAGAGGTCTACTAGGAGAGACGAGATTACAAATTACGAGACAGCCGGTCGCTGTGATAAAGGTGTATGCAGAGTGCAAGGAGCCAGAGGAAGGAAAACGCGCTACAGGGAAAGGGAAGGGCAGAACTCCAGGGAGGCTTCACAGAAGCTTAAGAATTAAAAGGTACCTGTGGCCTGTTAGTTCCTACTAGTCTCCTCCTCTAGGCTGGTAAGCAGTGCTGCTAATTACTTTCTGGGATCTAGAGGTCACATTTCTGGTTAATTATCAATAACAATAAAAGTCCTACCCTATTCAGTGATAGAAAACCTAGTGTGCCCCCCCCCTCCAAGAGTGCTGGGTATCTTCAAAGGTTTTCATGCCCCACCAATCCATCCCAGACCCTTACCTGTGATTCAGTTAAGGCCAGATTTCCAGACTTGCTATAACTTCAACACAGACACTCCCCAGTACAACCTCATACTTTGTTCAATAAATAGTATTCTGGAATTCTGCTGCAAAACCACTAGCTACCCAGCTACGTCTACCATCACTCTGGCTTGGGGGCAGGGGCAGTTCCTGTACACAGCTAACATCAAGATGTCACTGAAAGTTTGAGAATACTGTAATAGAGTTACAAAGCCTAGAAGACTTAGAAGTGGCTGTTGCAAGTATAGCATCTATAGCCCATTGCCTCCCCGTACACCAAAATGTTGCAGGTTTGATTCCTAGTCCGGTCTGGGCACATACCTAGGTTGCAGGTTCGATCCCCGGTCGGGGTGCGTACGGGAGGTAACCAATGGACGTTTTTCTCTCANTTGTACATACCAAGCCGAAGCAGCAGCGGCGGCCGACACACCCCGAGACGCAAACCCCAGAGCTGTCGCCGCCGCTGCCGCCTTCGCCGCCTCAGCCACCACAGCCAAGGTTCAGTCGCTGACTTGTGACGCGATCTGAAGGCCCACAGATACAACGTCCCCAGGGCTACAGGAGGACCCCGCCCGCCACCGCTCTCGACGTCACCTCCTCCCTCCCGACCGGAAGGCATCTTCGTCATCAATCTGCGCACGCGCACCCTAGGACCCCACCTCCTGCGGGACTGCCCAGGCCCAATCATTAATGAGAGCGAAAGGACTGTGGGTGGGGCTTTCCCCTTGCCGAGCCAATCCTGAGACGGCCCGCGGGACAGGGCCCACAGGCTACACGTGAGGCTGCACCGCCGGGGAGCGCGCTCCGAGGGCCGGAAATACAGAAGGTACTCAGTAAACGCTTGAGCACACGAAACAAACGTAGGTCAGGTTAATGTACAGATGTTTACCGTGCTAGGAGGAGCCCTTTATTTTGCTTGTACCTTGTACTTGACGGGAACTGTCACCTTCATTTCTCCCAGCAACCGCAGGCAATGGAGAGCCCTGTGCCCATTTTTAATAAATAAGGAAATCGAGGCATAGAGCGATTAAGTAATTTGCCTGAGGTGATAAAACTATCTAGTGGCAGAGCTGGAATTTGAACCGGGGTCTGAGAACCAGCGCCAGTCCCCGCCCTAGAGGTCTACTAGGAGAGACGAGATTACAAATTACGAGACAGCCGGTCGCTGTGATAAAGGTGTATGCAGAGTGCAAGGAGCCAGAGGAAGGAAAACGCGCTACAGGGAAAGGGAAGGGCAGAACTCCAGGGAGGCTTCACAGAAGCTTAAGAATTAAAAGGTACCTGTGGCCTGTTAGTTCCTACTAGTCTCCTCCTCTAGGCTGGTAAGCAGTGCTGCTAATTACTTTCTGGGATCTAGAGGTCACATTTCTGGTTAATTATCAATAACAATAAAAGTCCTACCCTATTCAGTGATAGAAAACCTAGTGTGCCCCCCCCCTCCAAGAGTGCTGGGTATCTTCAAAGGTTTTCATGCCCCACCAATCCATCCCAGACCCTTACCTGTGATTCAGTTAAGGCCAGATTTCCAGACTTGCTATAACTTCAACACAGACACTCCCCAGTACAACCTCATACTTTGTTCAATAAATAGTATTCTGGAATTCTGCTGCAAAACCACTAGCTACCCAGCTACGTCTACCATCACTCTGGCTTGGGGGCAGGGGCAGTTCCTGTACACAGCTAACATCAAGATGTCACTGAAAGTTTGAGAATACTGTAATAGAGTTACAAAGCCTAGAAGACTTAGAAGTGGCTGTTGCAAGTATAGCATCTATAGCCCATTGCCTCCCCGTACACCAAAATGTTGCAGGTTTGATTCCTAGTCCGGTCTGGGCACATACCTAGGTTGCAGGTTCGATCCCCGGTCGGGGTGCGTACGGGAGGTAACCAATGGACGTTTTTCTCTCACATCAATGTCTCTCTCTTTTTCTGTCTCTCTCTGTGTCTCTCCCTCTCTCCCCCTTCCTCCCTCTAAAAAAAGCAATTAAAAAAAAACATATCCTCAGGTGAGGATTAAAAAAATATATCAGAAAACTGCAAGTTTTAGAATAGCAGCTTCTCGCATGTTCTGGCCACCAAGATTTAAGAAATACCAGCATCAAGTCTCAGAGCACTGTAGCACAACACCACATTTTTTTTTCCTTTTTCTGCCTCAATAGCACCTGCACACCCAATACTGAAATGTCGGTGAACCAGCATGAAAAGTGGAAAACCTCAGTCTGAGTTCCTGGGATTCATCAGCAAAAAATAACTCCTGAGTGTGGCAGCCCCCGCCCCCTCTGCGCCCCCAGAAACTGTACATGCCCTTTGTGGCCTCTTAATGTCTCTAGTTGGCCTCAGAAACAGATAAAAGGAGGGGACTCAACCTTACCATGGCTCCCGCCTGGGTCTTGTCTGCCAGTTGATGCCTTTGCCGTCCTGTCGTCCACAGTAGGGGCATAAGCCACTGTGCATGCATTGGTCAAGGAATGAGATTTTCCTTAACCCCAACCCCACCACTGCCACAGCTATTCCCGGACCCAGAAACTCTTCACTGGGGGGCCAGAGGAGAATCCCAAAGCCATATAGAGTAACAAGGACAGTGTGATTTCTGCCCTTGGTTTGGATCATTTAAACCCTTGTACTGCCTGAGGGGCACAACCTCATTGCTTAAGTTTTCGCCGGGTATCCTAAACAGTGGCTGCAGGCTTCCAAAAAGATGCTTGTGCTCCTCTGGCTGAGATCCTCTCCTCCAAGCCTTTCCAAGCCCCAACCCCCATCTTCCTCAAACTCTGCTTCCCCTCCACGAACAGTGTAGACCCAGCCCCCTAGCCCAGTCCTTAGTCTTGCAAATACTTCCTTTGTCTTCATTCTCGGAGTGTTAAAAGACTTCCCCTCAACTCTCTTTTTTGCTGACCCATGTCGGAATGGAGTTGTGGGCCATCTGATGGAAAGGGGAAGGAGGCCATAGATGAGATGTTGGTTTCATCCTAATGTACCTAAAATCTAACATAATTCACCACCCTGAAGATTGATTTCCTTCTGTGAACCAACTTCTCTGCCACTCAAGAAAAACGTGTCCTCCTTATAATGTAACTTTGATCTTAATCTGTCTTAATAATAACCTTAGCCCTATTGTCCAAAAGCAAGTACAGCTCTTTCTTGTCCTAGATTTTATTATAAAATTTGCTCACACTAACTACAAATGACTTGGCCTGCCTCATGTGGTGACATAATAGCTAGCGCCAGGCCTTACCTAAGCTTAATCAAACCTGCTTTTCAGATCTGTGGGCTGATTAAATGTGTTTACATAGGCCCAGCATAGCTAAGTACTTAACGTTTCCTTACGCGTCCTCCCTTCTCATGTCTAATAAACTTGCCAATTCTACATCCTACATTTTTCTCAGACCTCCCCTTTTCCCCTCTCCAAACCCAAAGAAAGAGCTGCTGTCATTCAGGGCCTGCTCATTTCTCACACCACTGAAATAGCCACCTTCTTTTCTACCCAGTCCCTCTTCTATGCTATTTTCAAGGTGATTCTCTTTGTCTTTTTGCAGTTGTTTTGTTGCCTTTTGTTGTTGTTAAGGAAGGTAAATTTATATTGCTGTTGTTCTTATTTAGTAAGGACAGTAAATTTATAAATTAGATTTATGGTTTTCTGTTATTACTGAATCACTAAAATAGGCGGGGTTGGTTTTCACCAAATTCTGGAAGTTTGTTTGCAGTGGTAAAACTGAGGGTCCTTATGACTTTGATTAAATTTAGTTTTAAATCTTAGCTCTAGAAATCATATCCCTGTCTCTCTCTATACCCCTCAAAGACTTAGTCTTTCCCCCAGATAATCAGCAACCCCCAAGACAGCAGAATGCAGTAGCTGAGACCTGAGTAATAGTTACAAGGTCTGGACATCTGGCAAGCTAAAGATACTGTAACGTCTTGACCTAAGTTATATTTCAGTTCCCCCTGGCCAGAAGGATGCTTGAAAGGATCTCAGAGCTGTCTTCAAGACCTGAGAAATGATTTATTACCCTTACCTTACCTTGGACCAATTAGCTCCCAGCACTACCCCAAACTCCAGTAACCCACAGTGTTTTGTGATTTTGCCCTGTATAATCTGTAACCTACACGCTATCGG